ATGTATTGTAAAGAAACTTTAAACTTATCAAAAAGCTGTTGTTACTGTTATTGTTTATGTTAAAAAATGTTATTTTTATGTTGATAAGCCTGAGTGGTCTGTTAACTGTTAGGTAACAATGTATAAAAATGTTGGTTATAATCATGTCTTGTGATTATTTGACAGGAGTTTTACTTTTAAACTGTAAGTGTATTTAACTTTGTTATAATGCAAATACAATACAAATTAAACCAAGATTTAGAATAATTATTATTTTTGATGCGTACATTTGTAATGTCTGACTGGGCCTCGTGTCACTTTAGGTTCAACAAATTGGGCCCTGAGGTCAAAAAGGTTAAGAACCCCTGCACTAAAACATAAACTATCTGTGGTATTTTACCTGTCTTTGATGGACAGGTCGTCTTGTAGACCACTGGTACCATGGAGGACCATGCTGATGCAAAAGACCATGCTGATGCAGAGGACCATGCTGATGCAGAGGACCACATTGATGCAAAAGACCATGGTGATTCAGTGGAAAATGCTGATGCAGAGGCACAGAAGGAGGTGGATGCCTTGGAGCAAACCTTGTCTCCTGAAAACAAATCACCTAAAATCGTCTCCAAACCACCACGCCGCTGCACTTCAGGAAAGAAGAGCCAGAGCAAAAAGAAGCAGGGGACTACTTATAAAAAGAGGCGTGTTCTCGCAGAGAAGAGGCGTGGTCAGAAACATAAGAAGCGGGGCCAGGAAGAGACGACAGAAGGCGTGACGGTAAAGAGGACATCGGGTGGTGGGAAACGTCGCTGGGCCAAAAAACATTACTGCGTGTTCTGCCGCCGGCCACAGGTAAAGATTGCCCGTCATTTGCTGAGGAAACACATCGATGAACAGGAAGTGTTGGCTGCTAGTGTGCTACCAGTAGGTTCTAAACAGCGCCACCTGCTGCTGGAACACCTGCGATGTAGGGGGAACTACCTGCACAACATTGAGGTTGGTTTATCTGCAAGTTAATGTTTTGTATTTATTTATTGGTTTAGTTTTTTCCTGATTCCCTGTGTCTTTACCAGGTGATCCGWCAAGGCAACGGTGAGATCATACCATGGCGTACGCCTACAGAGGAGGTCAATGCCAGGAACTACCTGCCCTGCCCTCTCTGCCTTGGCTTCTTTCTCCGAAGTGACCTTTGGAAACATCAGGCGTCTTGTCGTAAGAAGCTTGCCACTGACCTCCCACAAGATCCTACCTTCGAGGCAGAGATCCCCTTCGCAGGCCTCACTTTCTTGGCAGAAATTACCTCCAAAGAGCAGGTCTCCACTGCAGAGGTCTCGTCCAACCTGGAGACCTCAGACTCCGCAGGTAAATCCTGTAGTCCAGCAGAAGACACACCTGCAGATCCTTTCAAACAAACGTCAGACCAGAGCTCTGAACCTGGAACCAAGCGGACCCTGACCTCTGGCCCTGGTGTGGATCAGAATGAGAACAATGACTCAGTATCGAAACAGCCCAGAAAAAGGGCTAGAGTCCAGGCTGCAGCATCTCGCCTGCTGCCGATCTCTGGTGGAGCATCAGAGTGCTGCAGTGAAATCCTGCACCGGATGAACCAGGACAATGTTTCCTATGAGGTTTGTAGACCTGCATGCCTTTCATGTTACCCGTCAGACCCAAAGGGTTGTGGATTGTGTCCCTGTCTTGTTCCTATCTGGTCACCCTGGTTTTTAGACCTSCATCTTTCTTTGGTCCCCCAGTTTTGTAGACCTTTGTCCCTATCTCATTTGTATTTATGTTGCGTTCCATTTACATCGTATTCCCAGAACTGATAAATGGTAGTGACGTCATTTCCCAACAAACCATGTGAAACTGCATTCCAGTTAGCCGACAGGCGATTGTATTGTTGCCGCTAACCTAGCCTAGCTWCAACACTGCTACAATATAAACAAKGACAAGAAGAGAGCTCTACTACATATGTCATGCAAATAAACATTGATTTTAACACGTACAGTATTGCACAGAAAACAGACTACTTGTGCGAGTGATTAAACGTACAAAAAAATAAAAGTTACGGAGTTAACTTTCTAAAGCTGAGAGTAGCCGCCATCTTGAAATCGAAACTKGGGGCAGTTTCTTTTCTTCCACTATACGAGTGGAATATTACCACTGGAGGGGGCGCTCCAGTTTAAATCTACCAATGGGAACCTGGAAAATACCACTTCCCAGGACTACTGGAACGCAGCATTAGTTCCCCTGGTTTTTAGACCTTTATCCCCTTCTCGTCCCTCATTGGTTGTGTCTAACTTCAGGGGTTCCATCCTTCAAAGGACCTGTCCTACCCAGTGTAGGTGGACCAGGTCTTTGGTCGACAGCAAAGACTTTAAAGTGTGTGTGAATGCTGACGGTCTGGTCTTCAGCCTTATTCCTGCCCTTACCCTGGCATATGTCCTGTTATCTAGCAACTGTAACAATGCTAAACAGAAGCAAAAAAATTATCAGTATATTGGCATTAATATAATAAAATAACAAAATAAATTTAAAGGCAACATTTGTGACCCGTCACATCGAAACAAGGATTAAGTCTAAAAGTTGAATGTGGAGAAACAGGCAGATAGTGTTTTGATTAAAACACTTGCAAAAATTACATTTTGTCAGAATATAACAAATAAATGTGTTATCAATGTATCAATGAAGTGTCTTAAATATGATGCTAAAAATATTTTTGAAGCACTTTGAGCATTAGCAACCAAAAACCTGATTTTGAGGAAAAGTGCCTTCAAATTTTTTTTTGTTTTTGTTTTTGTTTTTTTTGGATGGCCTCCCTTCTCCCCTTATAGCCATCCTCTCCACACCATTGTTTTTATTTATTTATTTATTTTTTGTGAAGAGAAACTAGAGAGAGAGAAAAACAGAGAGAGAAGTAATTAGAAAGATAGAAAGACYGAAATAGCGATAAGGATTATATTAAATATACACCAACAAAACACAGGACCACACACCCAACATCTGTCCGCTCACCTGAAAAATAAATGGATAAATACATGGAGGGCATGTATAAATATACACACATACCCGTACATATATAAAGATATACATACATACATGCCTACATTCATAAATATTGTCCGTATATACACACAGACATATATACACACTCAGTGACCTGTCAGAACCCCCGGATCAGAACACCTGTTTGTGAGCAGTTGTGAACATGCGTGTCTATACAAGATTTCTCCAATGGAATATTTAATAGTGACTGTGGAGGACCGAGACCCAAGGCAGACATGGGGAAGACCAGAGCCCAAGGGCCCGAGAGGAATCCCGAGCGCAGAGCCCCCAGTGCGCACCCCCTCCAGGCGAAAGCCCGACAGGCCCAGAGGCCCCGAGCCCCAACAGGCAGTCACCAGGCCAGGCCGGCACACACCCCAGCGCCCAGCCCCAGACCCCGGGAACCCCCAGCACGCTGGCGGCCAGCCGTACACCCCACAGGGGGGCCGAGTATCAATGTATCAATGAAGTGTTTTAAATATTATGCTAAAAAAATATTTTTGAAGCACTTTGAGCATTAGCAACCAAAAACCTGATTTTGAGGAAACGTGCCTTCAAATGTTGAGATTTTCCCTGTGAGCTATCAAAGCTTTTTTTTTCTTTCCAGATGGGAAATCTTAATATTCAAATACTATATGAGGTTTCTTTTTTCAAATGACATAAAAATCCTCATTAAAATGACATAAAATTAGGATTCAGACCAAATATTTATGCATTATTGTAACCAACAAGACAAATTAAATCATATCTCTGGATCTACTAATGATATCAGGATGATCTAAGTATCAAAATGAAGTTTTTAAAGCAGGAATCTGAAAATATGAGGTCATTTTGAACAAATTTGACTTAATCCTCATTTCGATGTGATGGGTCACATTTGAAGAATTAACAGACCCAATGTATCCCCTTGTTTTTGTTTCGTCTTACCGGCTTGTTTGATTTTAAAAAGCGTGTCTATGCAAAAGGACAAAAACATCGACAATCCAGCCACTTCAAATTTTTAATTTTTATTCAGATTATTTAACTTTACCCTTTTCTCTTGCTTTTTCCACCTTTACCAGCAAAAATAAAATCTTCAAATTAACCCGCAATGTATCATKGGATAGGGTGGGTTGAGAAACACCCACCACACCCGTCCCTCAAACTGAAGCAGGAGGAGGACACATTCATGGGCTGCAATTGGAGGAATTTGGAAACCCTTTGGCGCGGCGCAGTGCCGTAAGCAGCCGACAAATTTGGCTTTCAGATGACACAACCCCCGAATTTGGACGCAGCAGTTGTCTCTCTTACACTAGATGAAATCTGATTGGTTGGTATGTCTTAAACCCCGYCTCTTTGTTCTTGTTTATTTAACACCAGGTGAAATCAGATTGGCTGATCTGTAAATATGGGAACAAGCTGATGGGAAACGAGGAGGGTGGTAAGCGGAAGTATGACTACCTGAGCCAGAAGCTCAGGGAGCTCGGCCGCTTGTTGCTGGCAGCCAAATCTCTGGACTCTGGGATCCAGTCCCTGCAGGACCTTCTGGCTCCGGGTCACCTCAACCTGGTTCTGTCTGCTGCCAAGAAGGCTACAGGATACCGATGGAGCCGCCCTCCGCTGTCCTTGAAGACCACACTCAAGACAATCTGTGAAATTGCTGTTGGAGAGAGTCTACAAGACGGGGACTGGGAGGCTGCTGCCAGGACCACCGAGTTCTACCACATACTGGGGAAGGACTGGGACAATCTGGGCCTGCAGAACTCGGATACAGACCTGGGTAAAACTTCAGACCTCATCAGTTTTCAGATAAATGTTATCAGGGGTTAATCCTTGAACCATACCATTGTTTCTGTAGCTGCTCCAAACGAAGGAAGCAAACCAAAAAAGCAGGTGGTCCAGTCCAGAAGAGASAAGGAACAGAGACTTGATGGTGAGTTCTGACCTGGACTGTGTCCCTGTGTAGACCAGAACCAAATGTTCTGTTAACTCTGTCTCTGTAGTTCTGTCTCAGAGCAGCAACGCACCAATGTTGTCCCTGACTTCTCCTGAGTCCAGACTGAAGACTCCAGTCCCAGGTGGGTCATCGTGGACTCATGAATCCATCTGGACTKTGGTTTTAGAAGGTGTTTCATTGTTTGTTGTCTCTGTCGGTCCTTCAGTTCCTGTTCCTCCTGGGAAGGTCCGCCGTCGGCCCTGGTCCTCTGCAGAGAAAGAAGCCATCTGGAGGCAGCTTGGAGACCACGTCCTGATCCAGTCGGTACCGGGGAAGGAAGTCTGTCAGCGTTGTCTGGACCTAGAGCCAGCCCTCAAAGGGAGACACTGGAAAGATGTCAAGAACCAGGTCTACAACCAGATCCAGAGCCAGAAGAAGCTGCAGTTCCATGCCCAGGTGGAGCTGGAGGAGAACCTTCAACAACAAACTCAGAACCAGAACCAGAACCAGA